AACAATCAAACTGAGAGTTAACTAAAGACATTTCAGACATCCAAAGTCTTTAAAAGGTCATAATCCAGATAATCTTTCAGGCCCTCAGCTCTGAAAGATGCAGCATATATTACCCTATCTTGCCTCGGTCTTACATCCCCTTTTGGCCAGTGGTAGCATGGTAATTAGTAGACAAGTTAGTGACCACTCTGGTAAGCATTCTTAATGGTCACTATCTCAGAGCTTTCTGCATATTACATGGATCTTTTCAGTTATTGAAACAAAGGTTTTCTAATCTCACAAGATGACTTCAAACAAGTAGGTCTTAAGTGACTACCTACACTAGTGGGTCACTATTAGAGACTGCAACGACATGTATTAATTTCCTCAAGGTAGGTTCTGTCTGTGGGTGGTCCATGGTGTCCACTCGGCTAAATCAAAACAAAAACATAACCAACCACTTTATAGAAAGATATTTTCAGCAAAAATAAAAATTCTTTTCAGTCCTCTCCTGTCCCACAATTAATATGATCAGAAGTAGAAATGCACTGGGTCAGCACCCAGCTCATGGAAGGCATTGAATAAAATAACTTTTGACTGGCTGACGGCTGAATTCACTGACCAAAGACTGCATGAAGCCTGGCTCAAGACTTGAGGTTATTTTTCCTCATAATACAGTCTAGAGAATTGCGGGAAATACATAGAGCAAGTGGACATAATTCACAATGAAATCATTGTATGTAATTGGAGAAAAGTATATAGAAGTGGATAGAAGAATGAAAGACCAGATTCTGACCTTATCCTATAGATGGCCAAGCTGTTATTTTATATAAGCCAATTTGCAGAAGTTAATAAATCTTCTGATCTGCAGAAGTTAATAAATCCCAGAATAAGTTGCCTGAAATGTCATTGTTACAATTCTGTTACCTATTAAAAAGTTCTGAGTCCCGTGTTAAAATGTAAATTACATTTAGGTCATTTGGACCTCAGTGCGAATAAGTTTCAGGTCCATTTATAGAACAGAATACAGGATAGAGCAGAAAGCTTGGTGTGGTCAGAGATGTGCAAATAAGAACTGAGTGAGTCAGAGATGGCTTAGTTTTCCTAACAGTGAGGGAGCAGCTCCATGGACCCCCATGGTATCCAGCTCCCCTCACATGTTTGGGGGCCATCCAGTGATTCAAAGCAGCGGAGTATTCTCATCTTGAAAATCAATTTGTAGGAAAAACTTTGTCGAGAGAGGATGAATACTAACAGGCAGGTGAAGTAGGATTTGTGTGCCTTCCCAATACTTATTAAACATGTTGCCAAGACCCCCAGGTTATATATCAGCCAGCTGGGGATTATGGCTGGGGATGAATTTAGATTTGTGGGGCATCGAAGCTTCCATATCAGTCCCAAGTTGCTGAAGAAATGGATTCTTAGGCAGAGCTTTAGAGCCAGCCCAGGGACTTGGACTTAATAAAGCATTTCAGAGGGGATCAGAGGTTTTGGAGTGATCAGTGTATAAATTCCTAATCCCTGTATACACATTTGAGCATTTATTCAGCACCACGACTCATCATCGCCAGGCATGCTGTGTGAAATGTTTCCCCTGACCTCCCGCACAGACCCACCAGGAACTCATTCAGATTGTACTACTGGAAGTCATCTCAATATTTCACTTCAGCATTCATTTATACAAACGCTGCTAAATCCTGGATATCATAGGAGCTTCTGTGAATTTGCTCTTCTGTGCTCTCATTCCTGTTATTGAAGTTTAAAACTGTACTGAGTTTATTAATACCAAAATATTTAGTTGGAGAAGAATAAAGCCCCATAAAAGCTACTGTCTTTGTGATTTTTAGCACATCAAATATGAGACGTATTTAAAAGGTCAAGAGATCAATTCATTGTGAAGTTTCCTACCAAAGTGCAGTGAATTATTTAAAAGCACTGCCTCTAAAGCCGCTAGTGACCCACTTTCAGTCATTTACAAGTACTTTCATAGATGTAAACTCAGTGTTATTTTTCAGTGTCAGAAAACCTCAATTACAGCAAAATATGAAGACCTTGGTGACTCAAATAGAGCATAAAAAAATAGAGGACTTAACATAAATAGAAGAATATAGCTCATGTGGAGTCCTATCTACTGCATGGGCCTTTAAGGAGACTTGTTTGAAAGGCTGGTGTTGTGGCTCAATTTTATAATTGGTAGAGGTGAACTTTATTGCTCTGGCTCTTGACTTTTGTACTAAGATGCACAGTCATCTCTCTAGTAACCATGCAGAATTTCCTTCTTTGGATTTTATTTTATGTGTTACTCAAGACCGCCTTGTATTGCTGCTACTTTGTTCCTGTGAGTATTTCTTGCCTTTTAAATTCTATGTTAAGTCATTCTGGGCATCCCTACTTCTTCTCGTCCATTCAGAAGACCATTACAGCATGTCGCCAGCACTCAACATGTTTGTTGATTGATACCCAAATATTTTCACATCGATGACCATTCTGTTTGAGCTAAGCAAAATTATTGTGGAATTCAGTGCTAAACTTAACTACTGTTGAGGGAATCTTACATTTTATTTCAGAAGTGACTGGTTATATATTGTATGTACAGAAAATTGACATCTGTAAAAACAAAAAGAAAGCAAACTACCAACAATTTCATTGTGATTGTCATTAATGCCTTACCTATATCTGTTTCATTGTTATCACGGAAAGCTATCTTAGTGTAGTCTTTTTTTTGTTTGTTTTTTGAGAGAGACAGAGAGTGAGCATGAGTTGGGGAGGGGCAGAGAGAGAGAGAATCCTAAGCAGGAATCCAGCACAGAGCCCTATGCAGGGCTTGTACCCACAAACTGTGAGATCATGACCTGAGCCGAAATCAAGAGTCGGGCTTAACCGACTGAGCCCTCCAGGCATCCTATCTTAGTGTAGACTTATTATTTATTGTAGGGTTGAGCTTAATTAGGAGTTAACAAATCTGGATTCTAGTTCCAAGGCCACTGCTGTCTTACTGCTTAAGACATTAAATTAGAGTGATTGAGCAAATCAGCCTAACTTAATCCAGGCTTGCTTTTACCATAAATTTGTCAGAGAAGAGCATGTAGTTGTCAGAGAAGAGATTCTGCATAGGGTTATGTGGATGAGGATGAAAAAGGGAAAGAATTCTGAAATGTTAGAGCCTCATTTCCTTATATTCCAAGTTAGTATGGTCATTGTATAATATTTTTAAAGAAATGGTGAGTTAAAACTTAAAAATCCTTGGGGTACCCGGGTACCTTGGTCAGTTGAGTGTCCGAGTTTGGCTCAGGTCATGATCTCATGGTTTATGAGTTCCAGCCCTGTGTCGGGATCTGTGCTGACAGCTCAGAGTCTGGAGTCTGCTTCAGATTCTGTGTCTCCCTCTCTCTCGCTTTCCCCCCTACCGCCATCTCTGTCTCTCTCTCAGAAATAAACATTAAAAAGACAACTAAAGCTTAAAAATCCTTTACAAAGCAAAATAGTACCACTCCTGTTAGTAAAAGTAAATATAGACTGCTCCTCCTCCTATCAGCTATCAGCTGTTGTTTTCATATATTTTATCCATTAAACATCAAGGAATGTTTTTTTCCCTCTCAGTGTGGAGATGATTATCAGTGCTTGTGCGGTGATCTTTCATTCCCACACGGCCTTTGTTTTCCATGAACTTACTGCCCTTTTTGACCCTGCCTTCTACCACAGCTGGTTCTTGTACCTGACCAGTCTCTTACACTGCATACCTGGTATCTGCTGTCACCATTCACCTGGCTCAGGAAAATGAGCTGTTTTTAGGAAAGGGGTGATGCTGGGTTTGGCTCCACTGTGCCTTCCAAATAAAGTCTACATGTTTAGGATTTCAAAGTGTTGTCTTACCCTACTGCTGATGCAGACCCTTCACTGTGTTTCCTCATTGTGTAAACATGGTTGGAAATGCATTGATACTGATCACACATTTCCCTATTACTGTGGGCTTTGGTTTTCAGTATTTATTTTCTGCTTCTTTTATTCCATGTTTCCATCTCTGTTGACAAAACTTGGTATTCTACTCACGAGTATATTCACAAGAGTGCCCAGGAGATTTTTCTCAGGCAATAAGAAGCAACCTAGGAGGGCTGTTGAGTTAAATTGAATGGTGGGGCCACACCTTTAGGTCTGGGTATTGAACTTAATGTTTCATGGACCTGGACAAGAGTAAGTCTCTGGTGTTTGTGTACTAGAAAAGAGTAAGTGTGACTGGAAGGGAAGGGTCACACTGACCAGTAAATGCTGGAGTTCACAAAACATTGCTAGAGATCAGTGAACAACTATTGAAGACACTTGAAGTCATGAATGTTCTACAATGCTAAATAACTGATATGTTTGACACACAGGACACACATTTAAAGCCTATCAAGAATCTGTAAAACATAAGAGGAGTGCTCCAGAATTTAGGCAGGTTTTAAAACCAGAAAGGGTAAATACTACATATTCAAATAAAGACTTGTGTTATACATGGGGTGCCTGGGTGGCTCACTCAGTTGAGCATCTGACTCAACTGGATTTTGGCACAGGTCATGATCTCACAGTCGTGTGATTGAGCCCTCAAGTTGGGCTCATGCTGAGCCTGGAGCCTGCTTGGGTTTCTCAGTCTCCCTGTCTGTCTTTGCCCCTTCCCTGCTTGTGTGCATGCACACATGCTCTCAAAATGAATAAGTAAACATTAAAAAAAGAATTTGCATTGTAAAGTTTTCTTTTGCCTTTTGTTTAGGAAAAAATTCAAATTTGAAAAATATTTTCAAGTAGGACCAGAAATAGCATTTTTTTTAAAAAAAATTATAACATGAAGGCATCTTTCCTGACAAACAACATTTCCTGGCATTTGGAGCCCTAGGAAGGCCACGTGTTTCACAAAGAAATAGAGGTGTCAACATGAGCTTGGTCGTTGATAGGCTTCCTGAGCCTTTAAATTTTTTGTCTGTTTATTCTCCCTTATCCTGTCGATTTGACCTATTTGACTCACATCATCTGTATTTTCTTCTTAGATTATTAAAACGGGAAGAAAGCTTCACATTCATTCCTCGGTCCCGTGAAGAGCTTCCAGATAACTTTCCAAAGGAAATCCCTGGGATCTGCTATTTCCTGGAGGTAAGGACTGGTCCTAAGCAGCCAAAGCCTTCTCTTTCTTCATCAAGAATCAAGAAAGTTTCCTACAACATTGGCACCATGTTCCTCCGGGAGACAAGCCTCTGAGACCTTCAGCAGATCAAAGACTTCTCCACAAAGCACAAGCCCACAACATGGGTCATGAAGGGGGAGTGCAAAGAGATTGTTTCTCTTCCACTGATTTGCTGAGAACAAGCAGCAGAATTTCTGTGTTATGTTAGGCAATAATCCTAGAAAAAGGTGGGTGATGACTGTCAGTAAAAAAGAAACCGAAGGGGGCGGGGCAGAAATAAGAGGTGTCCATCCATAGGAGTGCTTTTAGTCATATATATATTTTAATCACAACTAACCAATAAATAGATTCTGTGTTTTCTTGTTTGTCGCACATACAGGTATCTTTCCCTATATATTTCTATCACTTTTGAGAGCCAGTTTTGATGATCAATTCCTACATTTAGTGAGTTGGTATGTGAGGAATATTTTATAATTTTGTTTCCCTGAACAGACATTTCATACGTACATCATAGCTCTGTGGTTGCCTTCCTGGAAGGAAGAACTATAACTCCACGAAATATTTTAGGGATATTACCTATTTTTATACATCTCTCTTCTGAATAATTCCATTTCACACACAACGCTATTCAATTGTCAGAATATGCTACTGTGTAGTTGGTATATTATGTAACTAACCTATTAATCAAATGTAGTTTGACATATTTAGACAGATTAGTGCTTGGACTGAGAATACATATAACAGGATTTCAGATGCTGAGAAAGCACCATAAGTCTGCTTAGTAAACGTATCTTTTAAATTTAATTAATGTAGCATGGAATCCAGAGGAAATCAAATTTCCTAATAACAGATTGCGCTGTAACTAGGATCACAGAAAAGTCTTCTTGCTATCTTCTACCGAATGCCGGTTACAACAAAATGCTTTGCTGCATTGGACCCTTTTCAATTTAGCGCTTCTAAATCTAGGTAGCTTGTGCTCCATGTTCAAAGGCATTGTCATAAGCAGCTTGCTGCTACGGAACTTGTTAGTACTTCCCCCCAACCCCACCTCGCCCAACCACTGATGCCTCCTAAGTCTACCTGCCATTCTTGGGAGCAAATTCCTCAACGCTGGCATTAGTGACAAAGCAGTAGTAGGGACATTTTGCCAAGAATGCTGTTTCCTCTTGCCAAATAAGCCGGGGGTGGGGGGTGGGGGAGGAACCCTGTATTTTATGGCTTTGAGATTTCAAAAAAACAAAAGAGTTTTTCTTCTGCAGTTTCATTGATGTGAATGCATTGTCATCGTGACAGATAGGCTTCTATTGCACATGGTGCTAACATGGAGAGCTGTTCCCACGAATCAATACTGCATGAAAATATTATTGCAGACTCGCCCCCCTGCAATTAGGAGCACAGCCTGTCCAGAGTTTTTCTCTTTTGGATCAAATATAAAACCCAAGTTTCTATTGAGGGTGATGAGGTGGAAACATTGGTTTCCTTGAAACCTTGAAGGGGCTCTTTCTTTTCCTTCAGATGGTATCCTCATAGACCGCTTATGTCTACTGAATGTAATCCATTTCTTGTTCTAGTCAGGCATTTCGGCTGCATTACGATTTGTTTACGACAAAACGCAGCTAAGGAGCATATTAACTAGTGTCCAGTGTAACCGTGGGGCTTATGAGTATTTTTAAGTTCTCTAAGTGTGTAGCTAGAAAACATTTATAGATATGCCAAGTATTTGTTAAAATGGTGATCACTTTTGTAACTGCACCCCAAGACTTATGAGGACCCTAGGGCAACACTTAGTGTGGAGACAGGATCTAGACCCTGAGCTCTCTGATAGCTCCCTGTCCCTCTCCTCCCCGGGTCTAGTAGGCCTCTGTTTTGAACAACATGGAGGCCAGAAAGCTTGGACATTTAAGGGGAGGCATATAGACTGAGAACAGGGTGCTGTCATGGAATCTCTTCAGGGGACTGGGAGATTAAACTACTTCCTTAACTGGGAATAAGGAGAGGTTTGCCATCAGGTGGCCAGCACAGGCTGGGAGCACCGGAGCCCTCATACCAAAAGCAGTCAGCCCTTGCAGTGTGCTCTGTACAGCACAGGAACATGGAGAGAGCACCAAGCTCGCTCAAGTCACGGAAGCTTATGCTGCACAGGAATTTACTTAGGGTTTATTATGATCATAAGTAAATCAATAAACATTTGGGTGGTAAACAATGTGTTTTGTAACCATAAAGCCGAAAGGGACTTCCAGTAGTCATCCAATTTATTTCTCTGTTTTTTGTGAAGATTTGTCTGAGCAACTATTCTAGATAGATGATCATTCTCTCTATATTTAAGAATATCTATGGCAAGCATATTTTAAAAGCATCATTAAAAATCCACTTCATTATCCAGTAATTGGTAATAGGGCCCAAGACATGAATTGTATATATATTCAGTTGGTCAAAATAAGAAACTCTTTTAGTTTCTATGGTTCTACTTAGAGAAGAGTAGCCATATCATTGTCACAAATATCACAATGAAAAAGATACCAGAGATCTATTATATATCACAGACAGGATGTAAACTACATTTTTCAAACAATATAATCTAAATGTATCTTTGAAGCTAGAGTCTGAGACAATAGTCTCATCTGTTTCCATTTTGCCAACCTGCAAGCATTGACTATTAGTTATGCTGTTGCTATGTGTTTGCAAGTTAACTGCATAAAATGGCCTTCGTTCTAGCTGCTGTCATAGAATTTAGAAACTGTGAAAAACTCTTACATTTTTATTTCTCCGATATAACACAGTCCACATATTCTCCATTTTGGAATTAAAACTATAACAATGAATCATAGCGAGGATTTCACTTGACTAATATCTATACATTATCCTTACCTAAAAACTGTTGCAGACATGATGCATTTTAGTGTGGCAGATTAAAAGAGAATGTAAATGGGGTGTCTCATTAGACATGTGGTATTAAATTAGGGAAACAGTATTAATCCACTCTCAAAAGGATACATTAAAATATAATTTGGCACATAGAGCTCCTTCAGTTTAGTGTTCTTTTAGGAACCCGTTCTGAAGAAGTCACCTTATGACTAGGCATCAGCAGCAAAGATTCACAATGGCACCAGTATTATTTTGATAGAACATCATTGTTTGCAAATAAATCAGTTATTCAACAAAGTCATATACCTTCATATGTACCCCTAAACACAGTGCACCGTATGTGCTTTGGGAATCTGGATAAATAGGTAACATTAGCCATAATCACAAAGATTAATACTCAATGCCCACATAAGACAGTTGGCTGTCTCAGCTACGTAGTGTGACGCCAAGAAGGAAAGAAGATATAGCTCCTATGTAACAGGTGACCAAACTGTCTAAAACCTGCCTTGATATCCATGTCTTCTACTTTATTTTGGAATTCTCTTTTAACATCTGACTGTGTGGAGTCCAATGAGCTATGACCTCTTAGGACTCTGAGATGGGCACTGATGCCTGAGACTTTGAGTCCATGGATTCAGCACTTCAAATGTGAACTCTCATGGTCTCACACTTGGTCTTCTTGTCCAATGACAATAGTATCAGGGACATAGACTTTTATTGTTAAAGTGCAAAAATGTGCCTCTCCAGGAAACAGTAAAACGAGACAACAGCTTCTACAGAGTCTTACTCCCAAGTGCAGCAGGGTTTTTAATTTTGCAAAATGTTCCAAAGATTTCAAGCAATAAAGCAAAATTAAATTGATGCATGCAAAGAAAAGGCAAAGCCTCAGAGCCTGGAAAACCACCAAGCTCTGTTTTTTTTTTTTTTTTTTTTTTTTTTTTTTTTTTTTTTTTTTTTTTTTTTTTTGTACAAAAATACTGCTACCAATTGAGATCCTGTATTTGAGTTTGGGAGATATCAAAAAGGAACTCAAGATTACAACTGTCATGACATATATTTCCTGAAAGCACCTTGGGATCGTGACTTGCTGAGGGCAGGTATAACGGATCATTAGGGCCTATTTACACAGGTAGGTTTCTGTCTTATCATGCGTTTGGAGCATGACCCTGTCTTACTCCATGCTGTCACTGGAAACAAGCTGGCTCCCTCAACCATGGCCCCAACAACCCCATCCTCCTTGTGCCTCTGAACCTAATATGGCCACAGCAAAAGTTGCTGATGTCTGTCTCAGGCAGACAGAAAGACTCACTCCAGGCCCAAGTAACAATGCACTTCTGAAGTGAACTAAGCACTTCAAGTTGTGCTGGGGCATGCCAACATCTGCAGCTTTTCCCTGTGCTTTGTCTTCAAAATAACAATCTGACTCCAAGCACTTGGTGTAACTTCATAGAAAATTCCTTCAAAATGAATGATATATATGACTCTGCATAGGCTTTGGGCAACACCAGATGCCTTTCAGCCAACAATACCTAGAAACTCAAGTCCAAGGACCAAGTCCCATACTGCAGCCTAGGTATTTCTATTATTAAGTTATAGATCTTCAACTACAAAATCTATGTTATATCAGAGGCTTCTATAAGGGTATTTTATGAGATAGAGCTGGAAAAACACAGTATAGGAGAGACTGAGTAATCAGAGGCTAACATATTCCAATCTGAATGATTCCGTATGGGTAGCTCTTGATAGGAATATACTTCATCCACAAGCAGTTGATTTCATATATACATAAGTTGTGTTAACATGACTGAACTTGATTGTTAGATGGATAAATTGGCCCCAGCACTGGACTCAGTATGAGGATCCTTGAGGTGGTGAATGAAGAACAGACTCTGATATTACAAACAGAGTAACATAAATCTTGTCAGAATATACTGAGATAGTGTGCAAAATTCCTTCCTCACACTTGATTCAAACAAATGAAACCTAAGTATTCTTGTCCTGCTGCTTTTCTGTTGCCTTCCTTTCTTTCTTTCCTTCTCCCTTTCATAAAGAAAGGTCAGTGCTACAGTCAATCTCACCTTATAAAATAGTTACAGTTTTATAATGTAATGAATGCTCTTTGTGTGTTTGTGGGTGTACGTGTGTGTGCGTGTGTGTGCTGAATGCAGAGATTAACATGATTAAAAAGAGTGCCATTTTGAAGGACCTA